CCCAAACCCTAAACCCTAAACCCTAAACCCTAAACCCTAGCGAGTAAACCCTCACCTCCACGTACACGCGCAGCCGCATCAACTGGCAGTCCCCCCAAACCCTCCGCAGCTCTTCTGTGGAGCTGCGGTATCTTCCATCAAGGGGGCAGAGGTTGTCGAGGGTGTTCATTTTCGAGGGTTTAGGGTTTGGGCGAGGGTTTGGGACGAGGGTTTGCGGCGCCGGGGCTAGGGTTTAGGGTTTAGGGTTTAGCGCCCGCAGCTCCCTGTCCCCCTCAGCAGCAGCTTCCGCGCGTTCTGCGCTGCGCAGAGAAGAGCCACGAGCGCCCGCGAGGGTTTAGGGTTTGCGGTAGGGTTAAGGGTTTCGCCAGGGTTTAGGGTTTCGCTAGGGTTTGCAGCCTGCACGCAACCCGAGGGCCCGCGCAACAGGAAAAAAGCAAAAATGCATAAAATTGCATTTAATTAAATAAAAGGAATTAATTAGAGTTAAAAAAGGAAAGGAAGAAGACAAAGTGAGGGGCCCCGTGCATGCATCGGGTTCTTTGTTGTCTGTGGCTGGCGTGTCTTTGCTCGCACATCGGCTGAAACGAAATAAATACATTTAAAATAACAATTTTATTATTTTAAAACAATTAATATATTTATTTAAATGCTTAAAGAACTGCAAAAGAGCCCTCGAGGCTCCTGCCTAGACAACCACTCTGGGGTGTCTGTACACCCCAGCACCGCCGCAGCTTGGATTTCCGAAATTCTCCTTTTCGATTTATTTCCGAATTGTTATTTCGCATTCTTTCGAAACTTTGAATTATTTTTATTATTTCATTTTCAAATTTATCAAACTGTTTCAAAATTTTATATTTATTCGCCGATTTCTGCGAGACTTCCCACACGAGCTGCTGGCCGTCGATGCTGCTGTGTCTGAGGGAAGCAGCAGCAGCAAAACAAATAAAGACAAAAACAATTCATAAATAAATATATCATTTTTAACTTTATTTCATTTATAAATAATAAATCATTTTTATCTTTATTTGCTTTTAATCTCGAAAATTCAAAATAAATTAAACTCGACTTTTCTCAAACTCAAGGACTTAGAGGTTTAATGCCACCGCATGCATACTTCGCATGCAGCTAGCTGCAGTCCACTGTGGCTAGCTGCTGCCAGCCCCAGCTAGCTAGCTGCTGCTAGCTGCTGCTAGCTGCAGCTAGCCGTGGCTAGCTGCTGCTGCCTGCGGCTAGTTGCAGCTTGCCGTAGCTAGCTGCTTCTGGCTAGCCGTGGCTAGCTGTAGCTAGCTACTGCTGCCTGTGGCTAGCTACAATTAGCCGTAGCTAACTGCTCCTCTCTGTGACTAGCTGCTGCTGTCTGTGGCTAGCTGTGGCTAGCTGCTGCTGTCTGTGGCTCGCGGTTGCTGTCTGTGGCAAGCTGTGGCTAGCTGCTGCTGCATGTGGCTAGCTGCTGCTGCATGTGGCTAGCTGCTGCTGCATGTGGCTAGCTGCTGCTGCATGTGGCTAGCTGCTGATGCCTGTGGCTAGCTGTGGCTAGCTGCTGGTGCCTGTGGCTAGCTGTGGCTAGCTGCTGGTGCCTGTGGCTAGCTGCTGCGAGCTGCTGCTGCATGTGGCTAGCTGCTGCTGCATGTGGCTAGCTGCTGCTGCATGTGGCTAGCTGCTGCTGCATGTGGCTAGCTGTGGCTAGCTCTTAAAGAAAGCAAACAGGAGCAGCAAAAGGCAAAACAAATGAAGAAACAAAACAAAAATAAAAAACAAGAATAAAATAAAACAATTTAAAACAGTTTGAAATGATTTGAAACAAATGCTGCAGAGACACTCAAAGTCTACTCCCCTCAAGTCCTCGAAGCAGCAGCAGCAAAAGACAAACAAAGAAACGGAAACATTGGCTGCGCAGTGCTGCTGCTGCTGCTGCTGCTGCTGCTGCGGTGCTGGAGCAGCAGCAGCAGCGCTGCTGCAGCACTATTGCTGCTGCTGCAGCACCGCCGCGGTTGCGGCTACGGCGCTGCTGCTGCTGCTGCTGAAGCGCTGCGGATGCTGCAGCGCTGGTGCTGCTTCTGAAGCGCTGCTGCTGCTGCTGGAGCGCTGCTGCTGCTGCTGCTGGCGCAGCAGGCATGGGGCAGCAGCAGCAGCAGCAGCAGCAGCAGAAGCAGCACAGCTGAAACGGAAGTTGTGAAATGAATTGAAGAGAGCTAAATTGGAAAATAGAAAAGAAATGGAATTTGAAATAATAATAAAAGGAATTGCAAGTCTAAAGCCCCTTCATTGTTTCTGCACGCAGCAGCAGCTGCTGCTGCTGATGCTGCAGCAGCTGCTGCGCTGCTGCCGCAAACTTCTGTTCAGCTCTTTAAACACTTCTGTCCGAAATGCATTTTCCGTCGAAGAGAAAAACTCCTCCAAACAAACCCCGTGGCTATTTTCGTATTCAAACGCCTGCAAACCCTAAACCCTAAATCGGGGTTTCATAAGGGTTTGGCAGATTTTACGGTTTGACAGCTTCTAGGGTTTAACAGATTCTAGGCTTTGACAGTTTCTAGGGTTTGATAATTTCTAGGGTTTGAGGGATCTTTAGGGTTTTTCAAGGGTTTTACGTTTTTGCAGAAAGCTAAGGACTCCGGGAAGGGTTTGGGGTTCTTAAGGGTTTAGGGTTTTAGGGTTGGGGCTTTTCCCAAGGGTTCAGGGCTTTCTCAGGGTTTAGAACCTGTCTAGGGTTTAGCGCTTTTCGAGGGCTTAGGGTTTGTTTAGGGTTTAGGGTTTGTCGAGTGTTTAGGGTCTGTCTATGGTTTAGGGTTTGTCTAGGGTTTAAGGTTTGTTTAGGGTTTAGGCTTTGTCTAGGGTTTAGAGTAGAGACGCGGGCGCTGCAGGGCCTCCGCTGCAGCTGCCCGTGGGAGGAGGCTAAAGAGGGTTTAGGGTTTAGGGTTTAGGGTTTGAGATTTAAAATATAAAAAGAAATAAAATTCAATTAATTATTTCACCTTCGTTATCATGTCGAACTTGTCCGCGTCTTTAACCAGCATCGCCTCTGGGGTTTCGCCTGCAGCAGCAAAAGAAATTTTTAAATAAAAAAAGAAATAAATAAAATAAAACAAATTAAATTAATTAAATTAAATTAAATTAAATTAATAATTAAAGTGCGTCATTAAATGCATAAATTCAAAAGAACGAAATTCTCCAAGAAGGCAAAAATGCCGCCACTGCGGTGTACAGACACCGCAGCACAGCTGTTTGCTGCTCCACAAAAATGAATTTTCATGTAAATCAAAAAAAGGAAAAAAAAGAAAAGAGAATGAAAAAACGAAAAAGAAGAAGCTAAACAGAAAAAAGAAAAAAGAATGAAAAAAAGAGAAAGAGAAAAAGAAAAAAGAAAGCAAAGAAAGAAAATTCAACATCAAGATATTTGAATTTCAGAAAATTCGAATTTCAAAAAGTTCGAATTAGGAAATTAGAAGTTGTTTAGAAATTCTGAAGATTTGATATTCAAATTCTTTTTTAAATCCAATTTTCTGAAGCTTCAATTTTTTGGAATTCAATTCTTCTGAAATTCGAATATTTTGAAATCCAACCTTTTTGAAATTTTAATTTATCCAAATTCAATTTTTTGAAATTTCAAATTTTGAATTTGTTTTTGAAATAAAAAATTTTCAAATTTGAGCTTTTTGAAATATGAATTTTTGAAACTTGAATTTTTAAAACATGAATATTTGAAAGTTTGAAACTTGAAAACTTGAAACTTGAATTTTGAAACTTTAATTTTTAAAACATGAAAATTTTGAAACTTGGATTTTTAAAACATGAAAATTTGAAACTTGAATTTTGAAACTTGAATTTTGAAACTTGAATATTTAAAAACTTGACAATTTGAGACTTGAATATTGAAAACTTGAATATTTAAAAACATGAAAATTTGAAACTTGAATATTTTGAAGCTTGAAAACTTGAAACTTGAATATTTAAAAACTTGAAAATTTGAATGTTTCAAAACTTGAAAAGTTGCAACTTGAATGAAATAAAAGGGAGTCACCTCGTTCGTATTCTTCCCAGAGTTCGCGGACTTCTTTGGCGCGTTTGTCGTCGAGAAATTTGCAAATAAAAAGAAAAGCATTTTTTTCTTTTTCTCTTTTTTCTTTTTCTGAAATTCCAT